TGTACAAATGCGCTTTACACAATTGATGTGTGTATGGATTGTGATAAGAGTTGTATGAGCCCCTAATAAAATGTTTAAAAAACAAAAACAAAAACAAAACAACCCAGAGGTGACTTTTAAAGTTATATTGCATTATCAATGAGTTATGAGGTGAATTTCAAGGCTGTTTTATAAAGCCCATATAAAGATGAGTATATATTAATGAGTGGAGAATAATTAATAGCATAGTTTGGGTAAACAAGTTGCTTCTACCTTAGAGCTGGAATGGGGAGTGGTATAACATTTTTTTATGAAGAAATTAAAAAATTATGATACTGAAGATAACTCCTTTTCCTGTATTACTAATTAACCATGCCAAGGGAATCCTTTAAATATTGGAGATAGACATGCTCTTGTAAATGTTCCAAAATAACATAGAGAATTAAAAAAAATGTTTTAACCCACAAAAAAAAAGCAAATTCCATCTCTGACAAAAGTGGAAATGTCCATGTATGATTTGGATTCTAAGATATGATGATGGAAACGGACTCAGACGGATTTATAAATGACTTAACAGATGTAAGAAGTTGAAACAAATATTTGCTGAGGGTAATAACAAAAGGAGTAAGTCCAATTGTTAGATAAACCCCAGAAGAGCAAAGGAATCAGAAGCCCCAGGAAAGCACAAGGATTAAAATGTGGAGGCCTGGGGATGAGAAGAGGGCAGACAGCACAGAGAGTATCTGAGGTTTACAGAAGAAGCAGTTAGGCCTCCAGATCTCTACCCTCATCTTGCCCAGCCAGGTGACTATCAATCTTCTGTAACAACCACACATAAAAAAGAGAATTAAGAGGTAGCTACAAGAAGTTCATGGGAAATGGAATGAAAAGATCATGGAACCTTTCTACACACTTTTTGAAGCCCCTTTCACTGGCAAAATTGAACTTGGGACATAAGATCCAAAGCAAGGTAGGAGGTTTAAATAAAAGTTGGCATACTGAATGTTAAACCTCAGCTTTCTCTGCCCATCTTTAAGATATTTACACCCATCATATATATCCTCCAGATCAGAGATTGGAGGATTTTTTCAGGAAAAGAAAAACAACACAGGAAAACAAAAAACTCCCAAAACGAATAATTACTTTTGTTTATTTAAAGGTCTAGCCTAGTGAGTTATGTTAATACTCTACAGTTAAACTTGCTCCATACACAAGCTTTCAAACACAGTGTCTAACTACTTTTCACAGTTCCTAATTACTAAATTATGAATTACAGTGCAGGCAAAGAATGTTGAAAATACCATGGACTGCCAAAAGAATAAATAAATCTGTCTTGGAAGAACAGGATGCCGTGAGAAGGGAACAACTAGAGAGCAAGAAAGAGCTGCTGAAATTTAAAACTGTGATAAAAATCAAACCAAACCCACTGCTATCAAGTCATCTCTGGCTTATATAGGGTGCTGGGAGGTTTGAATAACTGAGTCGGAGGTTAATAGCCAACAGTATTAAAAGTTAATGCTGAAGAAATCTCCCAAATGTGGATCAAAGAAGCAGCTCCCTTCCCCCAAACAAACACACAAACAACAAATCTCAGTAAGTAGATGTACTCTAAATTTGATTATCAGTATAGTAAATCTAATGTTTCATTAATAGAAGTTGTAGAAGGAGAGAAAAGATGAAGTTGTAGAGAGAAAATCATCAATATTAATGTATATCAATGCAAACGTATTTGTCAGAATTGAAGAGTATATCTCCAGGACTCACTGGATGTCAGCAGAAAAAAAGAAGACCCATCCAAGGTATCTCATCATGAAATTTCAGAATGGTAATACAAACAAGATGCTAAAAGCTTCTGGAGAGAAAAGATGGTGTACATAAACACAAAATCTGAAACAAGTATAATACCAGCAACAGTGGAAGTTCATGAAAATGAAGCAAGACTGCTTCATCTAGGGCAGCTTTACCACAAATAGATGGCATTAATAAATCAAAATTTATTTTCTCCCAGTTTAGGAGGCTAACGTCCAAATTTAGGGCACTGGTTCAAGAGGGAGGACATTGCCTTTCTTACTATCTGTGAGCCTGGCATTCTTTGGAGATCTTCATGTATCTTGGGATGTACCTTTGGTCTAGGTGGTTCTCAGTACACTGACCCTGTGTTCAGAGGATGTACTCTGTTCCTGGCTCTTCTTACTTGGTGGGGGTGAGGACCCTTTCTTTTCTGATTACTTCTCTCTTTACCTTTTTTAAGATAAAAGGTATGACTCAAACAAGGTATGTACTCAAACAAGACTTAAGCAAGAAGAGAAATGACAGAAATTTCCAAAATCACTAAGTGTGAGTCTTGAGAACAATTTGGGTCTAGATTGGAACCTATGGTTTTAGGGTGACCTCTCTAGGGGAAAAAAATATAACCAATGAGTGTGAAAAATTACATTGACAGGTATTTTACAAAGCTTAACAAGTCTCTGAAGTTAAGGAATGACTTCAGTCACAGGTTTGAAAACACATAATAAAATTAAGTATTTAATAATTTTAATAAAATAAAAATATTGTTTGAGAATATGGTATCATTGGCTCTACTGTGAAATATATTTGCATAGTCTTATTGCTGATTTATGAAGCCAGTAAAAAATCATGAGAGAACTGGGATGGCAGTAGGAAGGTTAAAAGGCTGACATCCTCATCATTCATAATATAAAGAAAAAGTTATGAAACAACTTGTATAGTAGCATGTGAATATTATTTAGAAATATGAAAGCAGTGATCACAGAAAACAGTCCTGGGAGCTATAAGTGGTTGCCTTTAGAGAATGGGTAGGTTAGAGGGGAAGAAAACAGATGGCTTGTTTCAGCACTTAATTTTCTAAACAGTGCTAACTTGTGCATGTGTTACTTTAAAAAAAAAATCCCAATCATGTAAAAATATTTTGTATAGTGTAGTATAGCTGAAAGAGTTTTCAGCTAGGAATGAAAAAAAAAAAACAAACGAAAACCAACAACATAAAAACCAAACTATTGATTACTTATAGTGTGATCTGGGATAAACCATATAACTTCTCTGAGTCCAACTTCTATTCATTAGAGGACTCTGATTACTTCGAAGGGCCCTGAGGTTCTGATTCCATAATAGTAAAGTATTTTTCTAGGAATAACAAAGAAAGAGAAACTTTTCTCCATGTCTCTTGTATACATTATTTTTGTTCATTTTGCCAAATATCTGCTACCTTTGCTTCTTTGATGTTAAACAGAAATAGCATATCTCCAACACATAAAGTCAACATGAGTTAGAATCTACCTAACTGATGGCAAAATTAAAAAAAAAAAAATTTCACCAGGGTGTCTATTGTACCTGTGAGGCTAGTCTGCGCATAGCCTCCTCCTGCCGCCGGCGCATTTCTGGAGTTCCTGGACAGCTGCCACTGGTTATAGATGAGTGGGCTGAAGCTGGCTGTGTGAGTGGTAGCTCTCTGTTGGCATCCACATCTGGATTAGAAAGATGAGATGTTTGCATCAGATAATCACAACATTCTCAAGGAAAGGGAGATTGGCTAAATTCCATTTATGATGCAGCAAGTCCAACTCTAGCTATATACCCAAGAGAAATAAAAACACAAGCACACACAAATTCATATAAATATACATTCATAAGTCAAAAATTAGAGATAATCCAAATGTCTGTCAATCAACGGATGAATAAGTACAATGTGGTATATACATACAATGGTGTATACTATTTGGCATTAAAAATAAATGCCACAGTGATATATGCTTCAACAAGGTGAACCCGAAAAACATGCCAAGTGAAAAAACCCAGACACAAAAGGCCACATGCAGTCTGATATCATTTATATGCTATGTTGACGGTAGGAAAATCCAAAGAGAAAATTGATTAGCAGTTGCTTAGGGTTGGGTGAGAGGAAGAGTTAGAGGGAGATGAATTGATTGCAAATGGTTACACGGTTACTTTCTGTGGAGAATCTGCTAAAATTAGATTGTGGTGACTGGCTGTTACTGTATCATTTCTGGTATTCAGTCCTTCCCTCCACCATGCTCCCTCTTTTCTGGTACTTGATTTTTGTGGGTAAGTATTGTCTGAATACTTTCTATCTCTGAGTTAATCTAGGGGTGCCCTCCTTTTTGTCAGATTGTCTTACATTCTGTCTGATACTAAAAGAACAGTAGAAATAAAAGTTAATAAGTAGGTAGCAGTCATTGTGCACATCAAAAAATTGGCAAAACAAACTTGTGAAATGAGCAGAGACGGTAGGGTAGGGGCTATTTACTTGACAGCTGTTTGGGACATGGCAGCTGTTGGTAAATGTCAAATCCAAATATTAACTATATTGAGACTCTTAGTAATAGAAAAACAATAGTTTTCCATCTTGTATTATACAGAGCTTCCCTAAGTACTGTACTGAGTATATTTGTGGTTAATGCAACAATGCCTGAATTACACAACAGGTCTATTTTCACAAAATGTTTTTTGTACTTTGTGTGTGTGCTGGGGGGCTGGGCTGGGTGGGTGGTAGAGGAGACTGATAGAGGGAGTCAGTTTTGGGAAGGGCGTAGGTGGAAAGCAGGATGACAGGCTAGTGTCTGCCTTGACAGGGAAGTGACAAGGAGGGGGTGGGTTGGGGGCTGAGTGTCTGTGGGGGAAGAAGAGAGCCAGGCAATGCAGTGTTGCAGGCTCAACTGCTCACCTCTTCCACAGCAGCACTGCTCACTGCGGAGGTGGGAGAGACAGAAGGAAGTCGGCAGACGATGCAGAGATAAAAGTTAGGAGCCACAATAATTTCCAATTTATTTCCATTTTTACTACGAATTTTATCATTGGTATCACTGAGGGTTAAGAATGCCAGTGGGACTCCTAATATACCTATCAAGTTGAAAGTCAAATAAGCTAAAACAAAAAAAATTTAAGTTAACCCTCGATATTGCAGGTAGCATATTATTAATGAAAAAAAATTCTGCTGCTGCCAGCATTTCTGGTATCGGTTCTTATAATTAGATGCTGCCCCCTAATAATTGACAATATATCAGTTTTACTTAATTTTGACCCTCTTAAAAGTTCTATTAAGATGGCTGAGGTAGAATGTAGGTTGAACACCAACAGATTACAACAAAAATTATTTTGTATTTGGCAACTGCTGGTTCTTAATCCTGATAAATACATAATCATGTACTTTAACTCCCCTGATTACGTTCTAAAAGATAGTTTCAACGATGGACAATCATTTCATAAAGGGCGAGTGGACCAGGGTTTTCAGAGATTCTCAGTAGATGAGAGGCAATGGGCATTAGAGAACAACTTAATCTACTGCTTTCAAAGAACTTCTATTTTGGGGAGTATTTGGGCTATTTTCTATCAACTCTCTCCCAGGCTCCCTTAGGGGACCCCCAGGTACCTTTGCTTTCTGAGAAAGCAGCTCTTCTTGCCTTTGGGGTTTATCCTCTGTCATGCATGATTTTACCATTCTGTTATATGCAACAGTGATATACAGAGAAGTCAGACTACTTATTATCTGGTTTTCTTTCTGACACACTCAAATAGCTAACCCCTTGAAATACACAGATAGGAAGTGGCTTGATATCATATTCAAGCACTCTTGGAATAACTGTGGAAAGTAACTATGGAGATATGTTATAGAATCACAGATTTTTTAGCACAATATCAGGTAATCCAAATTTTCATTTTACATGTGTGAAAACTATGCTATAAAGAATTAAAGTAAATTTCTGAAGGTTACCAAGGACAGGCAATTTGAGTGTTAGAGCTCAAACACTTGGCACTTGATTTCCAGGACATTATGTTAATCTACCTTTAAATGTTTTATTTTCAAACTATGATATTATTTAAGATCAGCAATTATTCCACACCAACTTTACCATACTCCGGGGCACACAAGTAAATTGGCCTAACCAATTTACTTCCTACTAAATGAGAAAACTGGTCTTTCTTCCACATGCTTGATATTCATGCTTAGGAGAGGCAATCTGCTTCTTAATCACATAAGATGGCTAATTAATTTTAATAAGAAGTCAAGACGTTTGGAAGGTATTTAGTTGAGTTTTTATTACATTTCTAGCATTGGCTAAAGTCTGCCAATATTAAGATGTCAAACAAATAATTTCTTCTAGTGGTTAATGTGTAAAAATTTGTTAGGATATATTATTGATTTGGACAAGCAAAACATTTAGTTTCAGTTTTAGTTCTCTTATATCTCATAGAAAACAGATACACTTGTTCTGTAGACATACACAGTGCTTCTAAGAAGAACATCTAGATATTTAGTTTGACCTCTTATATCGAGTGAGTTCCACCAACAGGGAAAGGTAGTATAGCAAAATACATAAGACAATAAAACTAGCCTCTGAAGCCAGTCAGCTTGGGTTTGATTTCTACTTTCAGGATTTATGGACTATGAGACTTAGGAGGCTTACTATTTCCTTATCTGTGAAATAATGATAATATGAACTACACCTCACTGAGATCTGATGTGGATTGGATGAATGAATATTCATAAAGAACTTAAGAGGGTGTCTGGCACATAGGAAGTACTACATGAATATCTTTTAAACAAAGAAACATGATCCTGGTGGGGATCACCAAGCTGTGCCCTACTAGTAGTGAAAGAAGCATGAGTAGAGGAGAGGTCAGCACCTTTTCACAAGAAGGGAGAAGAAACCCTTCAAGGGCACAACGGAAGCCCAACCCCAAGCAGTGCAACACTGACGTCAATATCAAGGAAATGACGGCTACAAACAGCTTGTGCTGGCATGTACGGAGAACAGGCACAGGCAGAGCGGAAGCTGACCGTGATGGATACAAATGGATCCACAGGCAATTGCTGGAGTCATTATCCAAAGGGTACTCTAGCAGCCACATATTTGCCAGCAGAGAAGAATCATATACTTTATCTTCTGAGAAAAAGTTTTTTGAGTCCTACTTAGGAGACTGCTGGATATAGGGATTAAATATAAACAGAATATTGTTTTATTTCTCTCAACTCTGAATTAATTGCTCTCACATGCAAGTCAGGTTTTGCACATCTGGACATAAAAGAAGATGTGATCCAATATAAATGACTGGAAATATGTCACAGCAATGAAGCAAGGATTTCTTTTAAAAGGAATACGTACGTTTGGGGGAGGCATGTGGGCTGTCTGAGGCGATCTGTCTCATCCGTGTGCCATGGCAGCTGAGGGCCACCAGTCTGGAGATGATGGCAGTTTTGCCAAACCCAATATTTCCCACAATCACTACTCCTTGGTTCACGCTGGCATTTGAACTTTGCAGTTGAGCATCTATTTCGTGGAAAACCCAATCCCGGCCAACAAACACAGACTCAGTAGTGATGCTGGGCACTTCAAAGAGCAGAGGCTTCAGGGAGATATCTGGAGGCCTGTAAGGTGCAAAATGAACTGAACGGGACAAAAAGAGAACAAAGAACTCAAGTCAAACTATTAATATTGAGAGAAATAACTTTTAAAAATAGTTTTAGTTTAAGAGATTATTAAAATTACAGTATAGTGATATTCTGGGTTTATTCAGAAAACAATGATACTCTGATTTTTGGTTCTACAAAGACAAGCCATGGCAGCTGAGTTAGAGCCAGGGTGGAGTTCTGGGAGGACAAGGCTGCTGGTGGCTGGGCAGTTAGATAGCTTACAGTAGTAGCCCTTTCCCAACCAGAAGAACATAGTTCAGTATTTAACAGTCAACATGGTATGGTCATATCAGGATGTATCAGTTGGCTATCAATTCTGCAGAAAGCAATGTAAACAGTAATTCCTTTAAGTTCATGATGATATGTTTTATTTTTTTGTTCAGTAGAGAGGTATATTATTAGGGGCAGCAAAACCTTGAAGAGCTCTAATGGTTTCAAATGTCTCCAACATGTTTAGCAGTCAACACAGCAAAAACCAAACTTTCATCTGATGTCTTTGTTCTTGTAGAATTTGTACTCATGCCTATTACCAAAATTATTTTTGGCTTTTACACATGTGCCATAAGGATGAATCGTCATTGCTTTTTTTCTTCTTCAAGATTTCTCCCTGTGTCTATGTAATAATTTAATTATAGGATGCACTAACGGCAAATGGTTAATGCACTCAGCAGCTAATTGAAAAGTTGAAAATTCAAGTTTACCCACAGGCACTACAAAAAGCCCTTTCCGATTCCAATTAACTAATTTTTTCCCCTAGTACTTTAACTTTTGAGCCTAGAAAAAGATAGGTATCTAACTTTTTCCTCCATAAATGGTTAAAAAATTGTCCATTGGGAATTTGAATTCTTTACTAATCTGAAATGCTTACTTTATTTTATTTTTATTGAGTCAGCTAGCTTGTTCTACTTTATTTATTTTCTTTTTTTCTTTTTTAGGCAGTGAGTGTGTGAGTCAATGAGTGAGTGAGAGAGTGAGTGAGAGTGAGGCAGTGAGCAAATGAGAGAATGAGTGAATGTGCCAGTGAGTGAGAGTGTGAGTGAGTGAGATAGTGAGAGAGTGAGTCAGAGATAGTGAGAGAGTGAGTCAGAGATAATGAGTGAGAGTGAGGCAGTGAGCAAGTGAAGCAGTGAGTGTGAGTCAATGAGTGAGTGAGAGAGTGAATGTGCCAGTGAGTGATTGAGTGAGACAGTGAGTGAGTGAGATAGTCTTGTTCTACTTTATCAGTCAACCTCAGATTAGGATTCTAAGTCTCCTATTGTTAATATTTTTTCAAGAAAATTTGAAAAATGTAGCTTCAAAAACAATTTCCAGAATTAGTTTGATATATCCTATAAGAAATCTTACACACTTTGCTTACTAAGAGTTACATTGAAGTTCTGATAGTTAATGAGAGATATTCCATTTACACGGTTTTTTAAAGAGTAAAATTCTTGAGATAACCATAATTCATTTTCATAAATCTGAGACATATAGCAATTTCACTTTAGCAAACATACATCATATACCGGTATTTGAAAATAATCCAATTTTACTCTTTTATTAAATAAAACCCAAGTAGTTGAATATTCAATATACATTTCTGGGAAAGATCCACAATCATTACTAATGCCATTGTAAATTTGTCCAATTTTTTGGAAAGTAACTAGTAATATGTAGCAAATGCCACTTAGATCTCATCATTTAGTTTCTGCAAATTCATTCTAATGATTCAAAAGAAGAACACACACATTCTTTGTAGCATAGATAGTTTAGTGAGGATGACTTAACACATAAAGACTTGAAGAAGCTTGTGGAAAACTTGAAATATGTTTTAAACTCATTTCCCCACACTTTTGAAGCCCCCTTTCATGCTTAATGGTATACTAACCAAGAATAATAAAGTTATAACAATGAAAAACATGGTAAAGATTGTGCAGAATTATGAAAATGTAAAAAGAGAGAAACAAACTTATATAGTAATAGCACACAAAAGAATGTAGTTTACACAATATTCCTCTGGTTCTTTGAGGTCTCCTCTCCTCCTCCCATTATGACCTTTGTCCTGTCTTTCAGTTCTGGCTAGACTGGAGCATGCACACCGGTACAGATAAGAGTGCACAACACATGAAATCCAGGTTAGATAAACCCCTCAGGAACAGAAATGGGAGTATTGATACCAGGAAGGTAGGGGGAAGGTGTGGGGATGGGTAGAGAAAGGGTATCTGAGTACAATGATTGCTGCATCACTTCCCCTTTTCCCCCCAGGGGAACGGACAACAGAAATGTGGGTAAAGGGACACAGTGGTCAGTGTAAGATATGAAAATAATAATAACTTATAATTTCTCAAGGGGTCACAAAGGTGGGAGAGGGAGAGGAAGGGGAAAAAAAGAGGAGCTGATACCAAGGACTCAAACAGAAGGTAAATGTTTACAAAATAATGATGGCAATATATGTACAAAAATGCTCTATAAAATTGATGTATGGAATGTTATAAAAGCTATAAGAGCCCCCAAATAAAATTATTTTAAAAAAAGAATGTATTTTAAAACAAAACAAAAAAACAACAAAAAGAATGTATTTTTTTATGCTTTCTACTTAAAATATGCATAAGGAAGGTAATTGTAGAAATAAATATGGTGAGAAAATAGCATGATTGATGATATTTTAAATTATAATTATTCTTAAAGTTTCTTCGATGCAAATTTTAGCTACATTAAAAAACCCGAGAATCTGTTTTTTAAAACTCAGACAAAAGCAGCAAATGTTTCATCAAGATCACTGATTTTGGAATGATTATAAAAACCTAAACCAAACAAAATCTGTTGGCATTAAGCCAATTCCAATTCATAGTGGCTCTTAGAATAGAGTAGAATGTTCCATATAATTTCTAAGGTTGCAGCTTTTGAGAAGAAAACTGTCACACATCTTTCTCACATGGAATGGTTAATCGGTTCAAACCAAATTTCTGGGTTAACAGTTGAGTGCTTTACAGGGCCTTATAAAGACTATAACCATAGTCAAAACAAATACTTCGGTATGATTCAATTGAAGCTTAATCATTTGTTTGTTTTGACCATGATTATAATCATTTCAAGGAGCCCTTGTAAAAAGACACTTCACTGTTAACCTAAAAGTTATAGCATTTAACTGAGAAAGGAGCCCTGGTGGCATAGTGGGTTACGCACTGGTTGCTAACTTCAAGGTTAGCTATTCAAAACCACCAGTCCCTTATGTGGAGAAGCATGAGGCTCTCTACTCTCTTAAAGAGTTACAGCCTTGGAAACCCACAGTGTCAATTCTACTTTGTCCTATATGGTTGCTATGAGTCAGAGGTAACTCGATAGCACTGAGTTTGATTTGGGCTTTATGTAACTGAAACAGACAAGTATATAAAAATAATATAATCTGAGTGTTTCTCTCCCATTTAAAAATAAAAAAGCTGATCTAATGTGGAATTTTAACTATTTTCATTATTATAGAAAGATTTAAACACAAAATACATAAACACACACACAAGTATATATAAAGTACGGTACTCCTGCCAGAGCAGCCTAAATGTCATGCTGAGTAGTTGGTTTGTACTTCCTTTATAAGCAATAAATCTGAAAACCAACCAAACTCATTGCCATTGAATTGATTCTGACTCATATCAACCTTGTAGGACAGAACAGAACATCACAGTTTCCAAGGCTATAATCGTTATGAAAGCAAACTGCCACATCTTTCTCCCACAGAGCAACTGGTGGGTTCAAATTCTCTACATTTCAATTAGAAACCAGGTGCATAGCCACTGCATCTCCATGGCTCTAATCCACTGAAGTGGATACTATAGTCATGTGTTTTATGTGATCAAGTTGCTTCTGATTGACAGTGATCCTGTATGAAAGAGTAGAACTCCCCCATAGGTTTGGGGCTTCTCAGACTGTAAACTCTATGGGAGCAGATCACCAGGTTTTTCTCCTATGGAACAGTTGGTGAATTCAAACCTCTGACATTTCAGTTAGGAGCTGAGCATTTAACTACAGCACAAATAGGACTCGTTAACACTAGTGAAGGTACACGGAGAAGGAAGAAGTCAGACTACTCACTTCATTAGTCTTGGGGAAGCCTGATGGCCTGAACTATTCCCACCAATAAAAAGGGAAAAGGGTGAACAGATGTGTAAGAGCTAGGAAAAGATTGGATGTAGTGCACTAAGAAGGGGAAGAGCCAGTTTCAAGTCTAAAGGATGAAGGGGGACCAATTTTTCAGTATTTCAAGAAGGGATTTATTGTTGGGTAGAAAGAGCTTTCTGACTTTCTGTTACATAAAGTTTCAATCATATTTCTCCTTTCCTTTCTGTTTTAGGAAGTTGTGTTTCCCTCCTAAATCAGAACGAGAATCAAAATCTCAAAATCGAGGAGAAACTGAAAAGGTCTTCAGATATATCAGAGGTATGCTCAGATTTAAAATGTCAACCTAAGAACCCATTGAGTTAATTTTAGAAAATCAAGGAGCCACAGTATATCATGTTACTGCTAAGCTGTTTGTTCCTATACTTTACGTAGGCCACAGAAATGAGAAATATGTGTAGGACTAAACAAGTCAACTGAGAAACACTTCTACGTTATTTACAGGGCAAAGAAATTTACATGGGTCACTATAAACATTTGCTCACATAAAAACGGGCAATCTGAGAGGAGTAAGAAGACTGTAAGATAAGTGGGAACAACAGAGAGGTAGAAAAAATTCCTGTCTTGGACTGCAATGACCACTGCTGGTACTGAGCCTATCTGATAACAAAAAAAGACATTATCACTCTCTACATGAAACTCACCACTGGTTTGCTTTTTGAACATTTTATTGTGGTTTAGGTGGAAATTTACAAAGGAAATTGGTTTCCCACCCAACAATTGATACACAGATTGTTTCATGGCATTGGGTGCAATACCTTCAAAGTGTTCGTATTCTCCTGACTTTAATCCTGGGTCCATATTTCCATTTGCCCAGCTTTC